ACGTGGGAGGCGGAGAGATAGTGAGGAGACCAGGAAGATTAGATTGGGAGCCTGAGGGCCTGGGAAGATGGTTTTACCTTCCACAGTAATAGGAAAGGTAGGAGAGTCCATGGCACAAAAAAAGGTTAAGAATCAGCTTGGACACACACACCCCTTTAATGTTAAACTAGATGCTAATGTAAAGTCCCATGTCATGGGGCTCTTTGCAGGGGACTTGTGAATCCTCGTCCCTGTATAACCTCCATTCTTCAACTCATTACCCTGCTTCTTTTCCAGCAACTGACTGATTTTATCCACTATCAATTCATGGTACTTGGCTTCATTTGGGCCTCCTGACTGCTCTTAACTTCTTCATGTACTCCTCTTGTCTCTTCCAAACCTCTATGCCCCTACTGTTAACATTTACTTACAAAAGAGGCTGTATTATTTACTGGATAGAATTCTAGACCTGGAGTCAAGAGAAGCTGGTTTCACATTCTGCCTCATGGTCAAGCCATGTCATCCTCAAATACAAGCCTTAATCTCCTCATCTGTAAAATGATTGGGGCGGGGCTAGGATTGAATGACCTCTAAAGCCCCGTCCATATCTAAATCTGTAATCTTGTGATCTAGCTTTCTATTTCACAGAGTAAATTGAAACCATCTGCCATGAACCCCCTCAACTCTCCTCTAAGTCCATAAACCTTTTCAGAATTACTATCCTTTCACCTCTTTTCCCGTGGTGATAGAATAGAGATCTTTGCTACTCACCAAGGCCCATGCTTCTACTTGCACCCTTGACCTACACCTTCAAGCTTCTTCTAGAACATTATTCTATCAGTCATCTCTCTGTCATGCATTTTAATCTATCTTAAATCTTTTGCCATTGGCTTTTTCCTGTCTGCCTACAAACATGTCCTGGCAGCAGAGTGTAGTGGATAGGGCACTGGACTTTCTGTCAAGGTGACTGTCCGATGCTTACTAGCTAAGTGACCTGTGGGACCATTTAACCTTTCTGTGCCCCAGTTTTCCTAGAGGTAAAATGAGGGTGTTGGATTTGATGGTTTTCTGGCTCTAAATCTATCATCCTCAATCTTACAAAAACCTTCCCTTTTCCCTTATATTTTCTCCGACTATTGCCCAGTCTTTCTCCTCCCTTTCGGTGCTACATTTCTTGTAAAATTGTTTATAGCTTGCTTGCTATTTACTTTTTCTTTAACCTCTCGAAGCTGGATTCTACCCACCACTCTACAATCTCTCTCTCTAAAGCTTAGTAATGAGTCACTGATCCCAAATCTCATCTTTGGCACTCTTGTTTTTCATTAGGAGTCTATCCCTTTAACCTATATAGAACTTTTGACTCTGCCCACCTCTTTTCTATTGGGTGGTCAGAGTCTATTTCTTTCTGTTCTTTTCAAAGACAGAGAATTTCCTAGTCCTCTCTCCCTAACACTTAGAGAAGGGTTGGAAGTGCAGACACTGCTCCTTTGTTTCCTCCTCATCTTCTGCCTCACCTTGAAATGTGGGTGTTCTCAAGGGCCTGACTTTAACATTCTTATTTTCTCTGTTTACCTTGCCTCACTTGGCAATCTTATTCATTCCATTGGTTAGATAACTACCTCCAGCTGAAAGAATCTCTAAGTTGCATCCAACTCTCTGTGACCCCATTTTGGGGTTTTCTTGGCAGAAATTCTGGAGTGGTTCACCTTTTCCTCTTCCAACTCATTTTACAGATGAAGAACTGAGTTCTTAACTTAACAGAGTTAAATGACTTGCCCAGGGTCACACAGCTAGTAAGTATCTGAGGATGAATTTGAACTCATAAAGATGAGTCTTTCTGATCCTAAGCCCAGTGTACTATCTATTATGCTACCTAGCTGCTGATAAAGACCCTCATTACCAGCTGCTTCCAGGCCAGATCTACCTGGATATCCTGCTGGAACTCATTATCTCCACCCCAAACTGACTTCCTTTTTTTCTTTGTGGCACCACCATTCACCTGCTCTCCCATGTTCAGAATCTTGAGGTTTTCTTTCACTCTTCCCCTTCCCTTGCTTCATATCCAGTCAGTTACAAGAGACCATCCTTCACTTTCGTATCCATTTCCTCATTTTACCTTTTTTTGTAATTTTGTTTTCTTTCTTTTTTAAGGCAATTGGGGTTAAGTGACTTGCCCAGAGTCACACAGCTAGTAAGTGTCAAGTGTTTGGTCTGAGGCCGTATTCGAACTCAGGTCCTCCTGACTCCAAGGCCAGAGCTTTAGCTACCTCACCACGTAGCTGCCCCGTAATTTTGTTTTCTAGTCATAGACTTACCTCTTCAGTTTTGACAGACTTGTGGAGAGAAGAGGGAAATGAAATCTGAAGAGAACTGTAGCCATTGAAAGCCCAAGGTTTTACAGGGTATGAGAGCAGATTAGAAAATAGAGGTAGAGGGATAATCTACTCAGCTATAGATGAATGGTTTGGTGGTTAAGCCAAAACAAAACCAAAAAGCTGACGAAATTTGTCCACTGGTAGCAAGAGGGATTTGTTGGTTTTGCTGTCCTGGGATCTGGTGTGTGCATGGCTTCCATGATATTAGTGCCTTCTTTTCTTGGTAGCCAAGGGCCACAAGTTTGCCATTTAATCAATCAAATCTACAGTACAAATGAAAAACTGTGAGTCATTTGTGTTGGGTTCTGCATTTGCCATGGACAAGATGCCAGGACAAAGTTCTCTTCCAGAGATTTCTCCCTAGAGATAGCATTAGATTGATTGATGGTCAATGTCTTTGCTGAGGCTATTTATTTCCTAGGCATGAGTGTCCTTTTCTTCCCCTCCCCCTTAATCTATTGAATTCTTATTCATACTATAAAGCCTGACTCAAATGCCACCTTCTTAGGGAACACTTCCCTATTTTTCTCAGTCAGTGATATGTATTCCCCTCCCCAAACCTTTTATCATAGCACTTAATTTTATAGCACTTTTAAAAAATCTTTAATTTTAATTAATATCTTTGGTTTTTACATTCATTTTTGTTCTGAATGTATCTGTCCTCCTATTTAAAGTTGTATTACTTGCAACAAAGAATTTTTTAAAAAAGAAAAAATGAAGCATTTCATCAAAACTAACCAACATATCTGTTAAGTCTGACAGCAGAGGAAATGTTCCTCACCCTTAGTCCCCACTTTTGCAAAGGGAGATTCATCTAATGTGTTTTTAAAATAATTGCATATTATGGTGATCTATAGTGATGTCTTATCTTCCTACTAGACCAGAGATTCATAATTCAGGGTCTTTGATAATTATATTTCAGCATAATTGGTTTAATTTGTAATTCTATGTATTTTATTTTATGCATTAAAAAACATTATCCTGAGAAGGGTCCCTATACTTCCTCAGACTGGGCCATGCATGACATGTACTAGGCTGTAAACTCCATGAGGTCAGACAGTCAGTCTTATTTAAATTTGGGACATCTTTCCCTGCCCCCTCCCCCACCAGTGCCAGCTGCAGGAGTTTACCTAATAAATGTTTACTCTATTTATATTTTGTTTTGCTACCCCCTAAAAAGGCTATTGGGAAGATCAAATGAGAATTTATGCAAAATGATTTGTACTATAAAACACTGCAGAATTGTGAGTGGCTAATGCTGGTGATAACTAACTAAGGGTGAAGAACTGGGAGGATGTTGGTTTCAGATTTGTAATTATCCTGTACTGATAGTGGTTTATATAAGAGAGATAGTGTGATGAAGTGCTGTGTCTTTGTGTTGACTGTTATTGTTTGTTGTTTGTTTTATGTTTGCTGTTCCTTTTGCCCTGGGAAAAAAATCTCAGCTTCTAGATTATTCTAGTCAGTGGGAGAGCTTTACTTTTCTGATGAGGCTGAGAACAAGATGATGGTCATCTTCCTCATCAGTAGTCCTTTTCCAAGCCTGATTGGTTTACTTTAGGGGTTTGGGTTGGGGCAGTGTGTACTTTGGTAAATGTTTTAATGACCAGCTGCCTGGGGGTGAGGGGAATGTATGGAAAACACTCTTTTAAATTTAATTTGCATTATTAGCATTTTCTCTTTCACCTCCTTAAGTCTAGACAATCAACAAAACAACAAATAAAGCCCTGGTTTGTGGCATTTGAGGATTTCAGAGGTGTAAATACTGACAAATAAAACTTGAGAATCTATTCAAGTTGGTTCCAGCATTCCCCCGACTGGGGGCCACACCTGTGCCTAAATGTACTAGGCTGATTAAATCAGAAAGTCAGTTCAAATATAATCAATAAATCAATCAACATGCATTTTAAAGTTCCTACTATTGCTAGGCACTGGGAACAGAAATTCAGAAGCCAAACTGGCTTTTTCCTTGAGGATCTTATAGTCTAATGGAGAAGACAAGGAGGGTGACAAGTGAGACCTCATGCAAAGGTAGGTGGTGAGTGAGCTGAGTCTTGAAGAAAACCAGAGATTCCAAGAGGAGCAAATGTGGATGAAGTGTTTTCCAAGTGTGCATGCTACCTCATCATAGTGACATGTTCATTTTTAGTTTTCTTGTGATGTATGAACTTCCTCCTTTCTTCTGCCTCTTAGACACTCTGATTTCCAACAGAACTCAGCTCAAACACTTCTAACACGTCCATCCCCATCACCAGCCCCCATTTCCCCAGCTAGTATCTCTCCTACATTTTCCTTGGGTTTATTTTGTGTTTCTTTGGATGCTATGAAATGGCATGTTGTCCTCCCCAATAGAATATGAACTCCTTTAGGATAGGCTGCTTCATTTTTGTCCTTGTATTCCTAAGACCTAGCACAATACTTGGAATATATAGTAGGGGCTTAATATATGCTTGTTGATTGAATGTAGCATTCAGACTCAGGAATCTTAACCTCTGCCTTTTGAGACCTCCATGTGCCATTTTTGACCTTGGCTCTCCTGTATTTATACTTTGTGATAACATGTTTATTGGGGTGGTCAGAGTTCCATTTTGGGACATTTAGTACTTTATGAAATCTTTTTATCTATCCCCCCCTTGTCTCCTCTAGCCTTCCCATGGTTTGGCATGGACATTGGTGGAACACTGGTTAAATTGGTCTACTTTGAACCGAAAGACATTACAGCAGAAGAGGAGCAAGAGGAAGTGGAGAATTTGAAGAGCATAAGGAAGTACTTGACTTCTAACACAGCTTATGGGAAAACTGGAATTCGAGACGTGCACCTGGAGCTGAAGAACGTGACCATGTGTGGGCGGAAAGGCAACTTGCACTTCATCAGATTCCCCAGCTGTGCCATGCACAAGTTCATTCAGATGGGGAGTGAAAAGAACTTCTCCAGTCTTCACACGACCCTCTGTGCCACAGGAGGCGGGGCTTTCAAATTTGAAGAGGATTTTAGAATGGTATGTGGGGGTTGCTTTTTTTTTTTGACCCTGAACTGTGATTTCACTAGTATAGGTAACTCTTGGGGAGGAAAAAAACAAAAACAAAGACAAAACACTTTCTGCAAATGCAGATAGGCATTTTTACTACTATTTTTGTAACTACTTGGCAGTGTCAGGTCTTAGGGAATTGCCTGGAACATCCCAAAGAGGTGGGTGACTTGTTTTGCATCACACAGGCAGTCTATATCTGAGGTAGAATTAAACTCAGGTCTTTCTATCTCTGAAGCCAGCTTTAATTACTGCTCTTATTCACTCTTATTTAAAAAAAAAAAGGAAAAAGGATTAGTGATCTTGACATTTCATCTTTTAAAAATGTGAATGGTAGTTCAGTAAACTAGACTACTTATCAAATTAATGTTTTGTCAAAAAAAAGTTTGCTTTCAGAGCATATTTTAGTGATGCATCTCACACATCATTGCACTTTATTAAAGGTAGCTGCTGTGTGAACTTTATAGGTTGTACAGCTGAGGTTCAAAGGTCTTATGATGATCCTATTACAAACTGCTAGAAGAATGCCAAGTAGATTCCCGTAATTTCTCATAGGCCCATAGCATTCTAGAAACTAACAGCACTTTTTGAGACCATCTTATTCAGGGTTCTTAACTTGGGGATCAGGAACTTGGTTAAAAAATATTTTGGTAACTTTATTTCAATATGATTGGTTTCTTTTGTGCCCTTATATATCTTATTTTATACATTTAGAAATGGTATTCTGAGAAAGGGTCCTTAGACTTCCCTGGAATACTCCCAAAAGAGTCCATGACCCAAAACGAGTTAAGAATCCCTGGTCTAGTCCAACTGTCTTCGTTTTAAAGATGAGAAGACTGAGGCTCAGAAAAGAATAAGGTCACAGAGCTCATTATTAAAAAGAACCAAGACTAGAACCCAGGTCTTCTGACTTCCAGACTTGTTTTTATTCTTATTACATTAAATTTCATTCCTGCATTAATATGAAATGAGTTGTTTACAGGTCTACTTCTCTGTTGTTGGGATTCTTGAATAATACCTGATTCTCTGTAAATAGAAAATTGAATGTTCTGGTTAATAACCTAGACCAGGGGTAGACATCTTTTTTTTTTTTTTTTAACAGCCTGTGGTCTGCTACATTTTTAAATACAATAAAATTTTACCTAAAAAATTGTTTAAAAAAAATTCTTAGCTCTAGAGATTGTACAAAACCAGTAGCAGGCAGGATTTGGCTGTCAGGTCTAGTTTGCTGACTCCTTATCCTGGACCAACACTTCTTTGCCTATCTGGATGCAAAATGTTCTATCAAATGAGATGTTGTGAGGGAGGACAAAGATATCTGTAAATCTCCTTTGGTTTAGCAGTCAATTTGCTTTTGAGGAACCATTATGGTAACCTGAAAAGAATGATAGACTTGTAGATGGAGAATCTGGGTTTCCCACTTACTCCCTATGGGATTTTCAGCAAGCTAGTTCATCTTTTTTTTTTTTTTTTTTTTTTTAGTGAGGCAATTGGGTTTAAGTGACTTGCCCAGAGTCACGCAGCTAGTGACTGTTATGTGTCTGAGGCTGGATTTGAACTCAGGTCCTTCTGACATCTACTGCACCACTTAGTTGCCCTTAGTTCATCTTTTTAAAGGTTTCTCACATCTCTTGGTGGAAGCAGATGATAAAAGTTGGAATTGAAATCAGTTCCCTTATATGTATATAAAATGAAGTGTTTGTCCTAGATAACTTCTAAGGTGTCTTCTAGTACTAAATTTATGCTATGATGAGATAATTGTCCTTCTGGGAAGATATTTATATACTTCAACCTTGTAGGTTGAAACTAGTTTGTAATAGGTTGGGTTCCAAAACTTTGTAAATACGTGTTTGGAACTCAATGTTTCTAATGTTGGTTAAGCTTCTAAGCCTGTCCATGTCAGCATCTTTACTCCATAATATAGTTGATATGTAGCATTATTTCAATATGTTATTGGTTAAATGAACTTTAGTTGGGTCTAGTGGAAAGAATACTGGGCTAAGAATCAAGGGACTGGGGCTTTAATCAAGGTTGTCTTACTAAACCAGTTGTGTTGCCTCAGGCAAAGGGAAATTGAACCTGTGTGCTAATTTCATCATCTTCATCATTGTTGCTGTCACATTCTGTCTTGCCCTATGCTGCCTCATCTCCAATGACTTTCTCTAGGATAAGATGGAAATAAGAGCTAAGAAAGTGCTTTGAGGAGTAAAAGAACCATAGAAATGGACAAGATCAAGAGTTGGGAGAGGGGCTGGGAAAATTCTAGCTTATGTTGCATACCTTTTACTAGGAAACTTGAAGCAGTGATCTATGTCTAAAACTCAGTTTACAAGTTTAGTTTGAGACCACTGGAATAGATGATCTCTAGGGCCCCTGTCAGTTCTAACAATCTGAGTCTTCAATTGCAGTATTCTAGTATACATGCTTATAATATGGCCAGAGTTCTACTTTTATTTGTAGCATATCTTAATCTTTTTATGGTATTTAACACAGACCAGAAGTCCCTGCCTAGGCATCTTGTCAAAAGCAATAATCCTTCTTCCTATTAATTCTAGTGAGCCTTTATTTGGAGGAAGGAGTGAAGAATGGACAGGTTGGTGGCAGGAAGTAAAAACAAGTGAGGGAGGTTGTCCAAGGAAATGTTTGCTCGCTAAAAACAGTTCATGAACTTTATCAAGTCCGAGAACCACTTTGGAGGCAGGATGATGTAGAAGAAAGAGCATGGCATGGGATTTAGTCAGGTGACCTGGTTCTGCCATTGACTCTCTGTGAGACTTTGGATATGACACTTTACCTCCTCAGGCATCCATTCCATTTACTTGTGAGTAAAAGGAATGGGATGGACAGGAGGATTTTGTAGGTCTCTCCTATCTCTTGGTGGAAGCAATAGTGATAAAAGTTGGTATTGAAGTCAGGAAGACCTAGGTTCAAATCTTGCCTCTGACATATCAACTAGCTGCATGACTTTGGGAAAGACACTTAATGCCTCAGTGGTCCAGGCAACACTAAGGCTTTAAGTTGTAGAGGTTTCAACCTGGGTTGGTAGAGGAACTTCCTCATATGGGAGTCCTTATATCAATGCAATCATAGATGCTTATCCATTCTATTGTTAACATTCTGTGATTCCACTCAAGAAGTTAAAATAAGAATGAAGCCCTCCTACTATCTCCTGAAGAAGGCCATTGCTTTAAGAAAGTCCTAAATTTTGGGAAGTTTGCCCTCCCAGTGAGCTGACCTTTGCCTTTCCCATCTTGCATCTAGTTCTGCCTTCTGGGGGTAAGCAGAACCCATATCTGATCAGATACTTTTCCTGCCCAGAAACCTTCAGTAATTCCCCACAGAAAATACAAATGTCTGACAGTGAAGGCCTTTTCCAATATGGCTCCCAGGTGCCTTTCTAGTCTTATTATATTCCCTTTCACAACCTAGATATTCGAGGCCAGCTGGACTGCTAGCTGCTTGTCCTGCCCTCTCCTGCTTCTGGCTGTTTGCCCATACCATTCTTCATGCCTGGATCACTACCGCTTTGCATGTATCTGCCTGTTGAAATCTCTTGGTGACATTAATGTAGTTTCCTAAAATGCCCAAGACATAATGCTCTCGGGACAATTTATATACTAGAAATATCTTATTATGTGTTAAGTGTGAATAAATCTGTTCAATGTTTGAATGTTAAGGGGATTCACATACATAGTATACTTGGAAAAGAGAAATATAACTCATTTTTCCCTGTAAAGTATTGGAATGAACAGATTTGGGAGGGAATCAATCTAATACATTTGCAAAATAGTCTTTTGAAGGTTGCTTGTACATTGCCAATGATCACTAGACCCCTTTGGTTTCTGTGTGTTCAATCCTGGCCAATGTGAATGTCAACAGAGAGAGATTGGAGCCTCCTGTAGCTTCTTTCTCTGCTTATCAAGTACGGCTTGTATCTGTGAAGTTTTTCAGAGTGTTGACTGGGTAGGCAGAATCATTCTTCCTGCCCACATATTCAGCCACAACTACAGATAATTTCTATTTGATTCCTCTTCCTCTTCCCCCATTCCCTCCGAAAAGATCAACACCAAAGTCCAACAGTATCAGCATAGTATATTGCAACATTGATGATACTGGTTAGGAGGCCTTAAGAACTCCCCACTAAGCAAACAAAGGAGTAGCCAGAACATGGTGGGGGAGTGAGTCCTAAAGACTACTCTCACTTACAATAAATAGTTTTTTTTAAAAAAAAAGTTTTGATACTTTCACATAGCACCACAGTTATTTCCTGATATTCCCCTCTTTCTCTCTCTCCAGTGAATCTTCTTATGTAATAAAGAAAAACAATCAACTAAGCAAAATAAATCAACCCAAGGACCCTTCAGACAGTGTAAACAATGTTTCAGATTCATCATTCCCCCTTTCACCCCCCTTCTGCGCACACACACACACACACACACACACACACACACACACACATCTCCAGTGAAAAGAGGCTGGTGGAGCATCAGGAAATTCTTTCTTCTTTCTTTTTAAAATTTTTTTTAAAATTAATTTATTTTTAGTTTTCAACATTCACTTCCACAAGGTTTTGAGTTCAAAATTTTCTTTCCATCTCATCCCTCCCCCCTACCCCAAGACAGCATTCTAAATACCCCTTCCCCTAATCTTCCCTCCCTTCTATCTCCCCCCATCTTCTCTTATCCCCTTCCCCTTCTATTTTCCTGTAGGGCAGGATAGATTTCTATACCCCATTGCCTATATATCTTATTTCCCAGTTGCATGTGAAAACAATTTTTAAAATTTGTTGAAAACAATTTTTAACATTTGTGGAAATTATTTCTTAAGGGGATCCCAGTTACTGTCATTTCTGAACTCATACTTTCCTAACTAAAGAGTGAAAGCCAAAACTTCATAATAAGAAAAAAAATATTAGAAGGGGTAGGGAACTGTGGACCTGTAGCTGTTTAAAATCAGAAAACCATAATAGC